GTGGCGCTTCCCGGCGCGGGCGGTTGCGGGTCGTCGGTGACGCCGCCGTTGACGAGGATCTGTCCGGTCGCCCCCGTGAGCCGGTAGGGAAACTTCTCGGCGTCTTCGAAAGACGCCCCCTTGGCGGTGATGGTCGCGCGCGGCGCCCAGGTCTGTCCGTCGTAGGCGAGGTCCATCGCGACGTCGCTACGTCCCGCCGGACGGAAGCGGTTCCATAGGCCCAGGGCTTTCTGGGGCAGCCGTTCGATGGGAACGTCGCCGAAGTCGAGGTCGTCGATCCGCACCCGCGCGGCGAGCGGCGATCCGAGCGACCAACCCTCACGCCGCCCAACCAGCCGGATCACCGAATCACCCCACCGCGCCGTCGCCTGCTCGAACCGCACGCCCGTGGGCGAGGCTTCGCCGATGATGACGATGTCGCTGAGAGGGCGCTTGAAGCCCGGGATGTGGCCCTCGCTCCCCGCGAAGTTGAAGGCGGTCCGCCACGATAGCGGTTCCGCTGCGGCGGTGCGCGACGCTTCGCCGCTGAGCGAGAGGACGCCCTGCATCGGCGGCAACGTCATCCGCGGCGCGAGGCCGAGTCCGGCGAGCGTCTCGACGAGGGCGGGCGTCGCTTCAATGCCATCAGCCTTGTAATCGAGGCGGAACCCCGAGCCATCCGCCGAGGCGGCGCCACGCACCTCGAGCGACTTGGCGAGCGTGTCGCGCGCGGCGATCGTCAGATTGAAGGCACGGCTGCCGTCCGTGGCCGGTACGAAAGACGCGTTGAGGTGGTTGACGCCGAGCGTCTTCGTGCCCCCAGCTTCACCCGTCAGTAGGACGGTGGCGTTGTGGAGGTCGATCCGCGGCAACGGTTGGTTGGGGTTGCTCTTGAGCTTGAGGTCGCTGACGTTCCACACGCCGTTCTCGCGACGTGTGACCGCCAAACGCGGCGACTTGGCGACGATGCGCGTCACCACCGGCGCGCCGCGCAGCAGCGTGGTGATGTCGAATTGCCCCTGCACCTGAAGCTCGTCGATTTGCAGGACGCCACGCGGCGGCTGCCATTGGAGACTTTCGACGATCTCGACGTCGTACATCGTGACGCCCTTGCCCGGCGTGAAGCGGGCGGCGCCGACGCGCGCGACGAACGGCTCGCAGTGGCGGTTGAGCGCCGCTTCGCAGAGCCGCTGCGCCTCGTCGTCGAGGCGGTAGTACAAAAACACCGCCAGCGCAACCGCGAGCACCGCCGCGAGCGTGAGCACGCCGCGGAAGAGCGACCAACAGGAGTTGACGACGTGTCCGAAAATGGAAGCCCAGGTCCGTCCGTGGAGTGCTGCGAGCGGCGCGACGGGTGGCGATCCTTCGCCAGCGGTGGGTCGCGTCGCACCGTTTCCTTCAGTTACATAGGCCCTTTCGTTACAAGGGGTTATCGACCCGCGAAGAGTACGCGGCCCCTAGGAATAGGGTCAACAGGAGCCAGTATCTTTCGGCCCCGCTAGCACAAACTCGGCGCCGACCTGCTCGACCCGAATACTTCCAGGGAACACCACCGCCGGTTGAGGCTTAGCGGTGACCGCCATCTCCCCTAGCTGCCGCCAGTGCCCCGCCGTCATCGCCTGCTGCGGCCAACCTGCCTCACGCCATGCCACCCGCAACGCCTCGACCACCAATGGCTGCGGCGACTGCGTAAGCACGGCGCTTTGGAGTGTGACATGACCCTCGGCGGTTGGCGTCGCGCCGACGGCGCGTCGTAGCAGGTCGGCGGCGAGGCTTTCGACGAGGTCGCTCGTCTCGGCGGCCCGCTGCGCGAAGCCAGCCAACTCAGTCGCCGCCGTCGGAAAACGCTCAGCCAGCAGCGGCATCGCTTGGTTCCGCAGCCAGTTGCGGGCGTACGTGTCCTCGCCGTTGGTGGCGTCGATGCGGTAGGGCTGGCTGATCGCGGCAAGATAGGCAAGCACGCCGCCCCGGGTGGCGCCGAGCAGCGGCCGCACGAGCGAGCACGCGGGCGACAGCGCCGCCATCGGCCGAATACCGGCGGCGCCCCGCACGCCCGTGCCCCGCAGCAGCCGAAAGAGCACCGTCTCCGCCTGGTCGTCGGCCGTGTGCCCCGTCGCCACGTAGCGGGCGCCGAGTGAGTCCGCCGCCCGGCGGTAGAATTCGCGCCGCAGATCGCGCAGGGCCTCTTCACTGTGAGGGCCGGCTTGGGTAGCGGCTTCGACAACGGACTCCAGGCCGAGGCCGGTCGCCAGTTGTCGCACCCATTCGGCATCGTTATGGGAAGCCTCGCCACGAATTCCGTGGTCGAGATGTAGAACGATGAGGTCACCCCTCCCGCCAGCCGATTGCTTGGCCTGGACCAACGCGCGCAGCAGCGCGACGCTATCGGGCCCGCCGGACACGGCGACCGCGACGCGTAAATCTCGCCACTCACCGGCTGGCCACGCCGCTTCCAGAAGGGCATCGAGACGCGCAGCGGCCCCCGTCTCGGTCGGTGCCGAAGGGGCTGTGCTGAGGCTGGTGGATAACGCCCTATCTTGCATCGTGACAAGAGTTTGGGTAAACACGCACCCTAGCCGACTGGTAGCCCGCGCGACGAGCGTTGACACCATGTGGGCAAGAGCAAGCTAGCAGCGGCGCCGGCACTCCTTCCCCCTGGTGGAGCTATGGTCTACCAGCGATCGAAGCCCGGGCCGCCATCATCAATACACCAAACCGCGTCTTCTCTCACCCCAGCGCGGGGCGTCGCCGCCCCGGGGCAAATCGCATCGCTGAGTGTTTAGGGATCGACCGCGGACCACCAGGACGCCGCTTGGGCAAGCGCGTCCGATGGGACAATCCGATCCATGCAAACGTTGATCTACGCCGCGGTGGCCCTTGTCGCCGCCCTGATGGGAATGGGCGTCGTCCTATTCCTTGGTCGACTCCGCAAGTGGGACGCCGAGAAAGAGGCCGCCCAAATTCTCGAGCGGGCCGACCTCGAAGCCAAGAATCGTCTGAAGGACGCGGCAATCGAGGCCAAAGAAATGGCCATCACCGAGAAGTCGCGCGTCG